AGTTGTGAGGTTTTTGTAAAGAATCAGTTCATTGGAACTATAAAAGCAAATGTGTTTCCTGCAAAATATGTTTCCGCTTTTCAATTTTTTATAAAACTCAGTTTTCTAAAATTTTTTTAAAATATGAGTAGGAGAGTGAAACATTTTTGTACGTTATCAACTTCTAGGCTTATGAAATAAATTAAAGCAGAAATGCAGTAAAAGTTTTTGTAACTAAGAAATGCTGAAAACAAAAGAAATTCTTATAAATATTTTTTATCTTTCGACAACTACGATTCGAATTACTCACATGTGGAGAATGCTTTTTAACCATTAGTGAACGGCTTTTTACATCAATAATATTCGGAAGAAAAAACGTGCGACAGAAAAGTGCCAGAAGAGATTATTTTCAAAGTTTTAAAAAGTTTCTAAATATTACAATTCTTCAAACTAATAAGCTTACGGTTTGAGAAATTTTCAGAAAATCAGCTGGACAGATATTGCGTAGAGCGAACAAACTCCCTAACGATATAGATAGATATGTGCTCCACTGTTTCGCCTCAGCTAATTTTATACTTTCAAGCGAATGATATAGATATTGGAAATAAATTTGCTGTCGTGCAAAAGAAAAAAAAAAAAACAAGGAAATCTTCGTCGCGTTTACGAAACCTACCGCACAAAGGAACGTTGGGCGTCTACGGATGCAGTACACGTTCCAGCTCAAACCCCGTCAAACTCAGGTCTGAAGGAACCCTTGCCATCGCATTGTCGCGGAAAAGAATTAAAAGATTATGCAAAGATATTATTTGCCAAATGCTTTACGGTTATCGCTCTATAAAATTTGAAATTTTCTACCTTTATTTCTTAATACTGTTATAACGTGCAGTTTCTTAGAAAAGAGCTGTTTTTGTCAACATTGGTTGGCGCTTATCTGATTTATCTGTGGTGTAATTTTGATCTCCGTTGTATATTTAGTAGCCTTGTTGAGTTGACTACGTTTCGCTGTTAGCTAGACTTCAGTTGAGTATATTTATAATCTCTCAGTTTCTATCCCTAATAATAATAATAAAATTGTTAAAAGGAAAATCTTACACTTCTTATAACATTATCATCTTGTAAAGCTACTGTACAGTTGTTTTGGAACGAGTCATTAACCTATAGGAAGTTGATCCTTAAGAAGCTGGCTTCTTGTACAGATAAAGTATAAATTCTATCCGCTTTTTGTTGGTTGCAGCATATAAGTCAGTCTTTGCTCTCGCTATTCGTGCTAAATAATTTTATGTCAAAAACAGTCTTAAGTCTGTGCGGAATTGGTAGAAATATTTCTTATTATTGTTTTGGAGGTTTTAAACTCTAAAAGTTTAATCTTGTTCCTTCTCATCTTTATTTTTCTTAGCTTTGGAGTTAAGAAATGGGCTCGCTTACTTATTCCTGAAATCAAGCGGAACTTTAGCAAACCGTTGTCGGAACGGGAGGCCGTGCAAAAAAGTTTTTATTAATTTGTAGAGTTTTCACTATTTTTTATCATATTTGTGGTTATAAAGTCACACATACTTCAGATGGCAAGTGAATTACCAAATAAATAATAATTGAAAACTATTAAAAGTGAGTCGTCAGTAAATGCTTGAATCGGAGAGATCTTAACTCTTCTGGCGTTGCTAGTCAGACGACTATCTCTCGTACCGTAATCTACCGCTGTTGTCTATAATCGCATGGCGCCTCTTTGACTCAGAAAAATTGGTCTGGACTTCGTCTTTTTATATGAGAACATTATCTTAGGAGAAATACAAAAAAGCTTTTTGCTAACAGGTTTTGAAAAAAGTAGTCGGAAAGCTTAATATGTGCCTCTGTTCTCGCTTAATGGATGTGTCATTGTTAGTGCATTAAACAAATTTTATTCAGTTAAAGCCGCACGCTCACTTTTAAAAAAATTTTTAATTCTGCTTTTTTCTTGAGTTTTACCAGAACCATATGGAAAAGACTGTCTTCTGTGTTTCACTTTTACTAATAACATTTTAAATAGAGATGAGAAAAGCATCTTAAAATTTTTAAAAAGAATCACTTGTAAAATCTTCCGCGCTATGAGAGATCAAAAATTGGTATGGCGTTTATTCGAATTCGAGGGTTACGAACAGGAAATGCGTGTGAGGTTGAAAATAAAGTTCACTGTTTTGCAACCATACAAAAATTAATTAATCTGCGATAGACAGTCAACATCAAGTACATTTGTTTTGTACTCTTTCGCAAATGGGGATCAATAGCTCCTTCCCACTCACAATTGCAACGAAGTGTATCTGATGATTAAAAGCTTACGAAAACAGTCTTAGTAGACATCGTTTTGAAATTGACTGGTATTGCTGTCAGCTGTAAATATCGTATTAAGACCATCAAAACTTGTCCAGAAAGTAAGATTACAACGCAAGTTTTAAACAAAATGAATGCATAAATGACTCAACTACAATTTCATAGCAGTTTCATTTCCCTGCTATTGCCCTGTCAAAGACTCACAAGACGTGTTCACTTTGATACGCAGCAAATATTTAAAAAATATATACAAATTCCGTAAAAAATTTCATGGTATTTTTGAGAGCTATCTGAGTGCGATTCCGTAAAATGGCGTCACGAAACCTGTAAGACAGGTAATGAACAGCCATAAAGTAATGGCATCATATTCAGACATTTACCATTCTCCACTGTTTTTCCAGAAAGACTGCAGGTGATCACACCGCTTAACTTACTACGTGCCAATCTGTTCAAAGTTTTTAACAAATCTACTAAATAAGACAGGATAATTCTATAGCTGTCACTTATTTTAGTTGAAACATCTCTGAGTAACTTTCTATGCGTTTTCCTTCAAACAGCAAGCTCAAATGAAAATTGGTACAGAAGTAGATTTTTTGGGTTTTCATACGTGCCCACTAAAAATACTAAGGATCCTCCCACTATAGTATATTAACGAGCAGTTCTTGTACAAAATTCAAACAATCCACTGCACTGACGAAAACCTTCATATTTCAAAGGAACTAAATTTTAGTTTATTATTTATCTTGAATTTTGCAATATACATTCACCAAGCCTTTTTGAAAATGCCATTATTTTTATCTTGAGTACTTCATTAGTTAAGGCTACCAAATACTACCGTAAAATCAAAATTAACCCTTTTATAAATGCAGAAAATGAAAGAAAAAATCTTGAATCTTGAATTAACGCTGAAACAGCTTAACCTGCTGAAAATCAAACCGTGCCGCAGGCGGCAAAGAGACAATCAGTAAAAATTCCCTCAGTCTTCCTTTGTCGACTGTCTACCGTATAACTACAGAAAATTTTCAAACATTTAAATTCCTCAATCCTGAGCCTTCTTTCTCAGGAAAAAACCTGAAGGGGTACCGCTATATTTTGAAGGCAAGACCACAAGTTTGTTGCATTTTGCGGCTGTGATTTTCTGAAGTTTGGTTTTGTTTTTTAATTACTGTTCAACTTTATTTCGCCGTTATACTTTTATAGGCCGTAGTGCCTTTTAGGCAGTTCAGTCCTGTTTTTGCTTTGAGACTGGTTCTTTGTGTTTCATATTTCTCTTCGTATGATAGTCATTACCGAGACTACTCTCAAGATCTCGAGTATTCGTAATATAGGCAAAAGTGTTATTCTGGTCTGTTGTATTTTCTCTCATTAACTTGATTTTATGCTTTAAATTGAGCACCTTCGGCGTTTGCAATTTAAATAAAACTGTTGTGTGGTGAAAAATAGTTTAGCATAAGACTCGGTCTAGTCGTGCAGTTGCAGGAGACGCTCTCAAACAAAAATTTTTTGAAGAAAACAGAGTTAAAACCATTAAATTCCCACTCCAGATACTGAATATTGGCACATCTAGTCTGTTTTGAAAATGAAAAGTGACTAGTGACTAGGAAGTATGAGTCTACTAGAGCTTGGCAGAAGTGGTTATAGCCAATATTTATAATTTTTGCTGCGGCAAGAAACATTTTTTTGTCTATAGTGGTTTTACAGATGCTTTTAGCAAGAAACTTTTGCTTCTAAGGCGGACTTAATTACACCAAAGATATTTGGAAGTTTATTTTGAAAAAACGGGCAACTTTTGTATTAGTAATATACAAATTTTTTTTTAAACGGCAAATGATTACAAGGAAAGTGTGTGATTCAAAATTTTCTTATCATTTAGGTTTCTAGTCTCAAATGTACTTTCTCAGAATTAAGCAGAGATATGAGATGAATCAAATTACTCTATTTTTTTCCATCTAGCTCTTATGTTAAAGGACGTGTTTTTTGAGAATTGTCTGTTCTTTGAAATTCAGAGATGATTCCGATTGGAACTGATGAGTGTGTAGCGTTAAATGAACGTTGTTTTCGCTATAGTCATACTTTTCATTCTGCGTTGTAATTTGGCAGGAAAGTTATTATATCAAAAATGTTGTGTAGGACAGATTTCTTCAAAAATTTAAATTTATCTGTGTAACTCCTAAAAAAGTTTTATAAGTTTTGGTATAACTTTGACTATTGATGTTTTGAAGAAAGTACACTCGGTGTAAGAAGTCGCAGAACATTTAAAATTATTACAAGCGGAGTAAATTTCAAAACTTCCAAATGACCGCATAAAGCGGATATCAGAAGTCGTCCAAACCACTTTTAAGCGAAAAGTGGTTCTTTTTGAATTATGATCCTGAGGCCAGCTGAAGGTTATTAGGAACTAGAAACTCCTAAAATAAGAACTTAAGAACAGATAATTAAACGGAGAACAGACTTCTACGTAGCTCAGGAAAAGGAGAACCAGGAGACTGTATTATACTGGTGTTTTGCGTATAAAAATAACTCATCAATTTGTTGTTTTCTAGAGTTTGAAGGACAGTTTGTTGTTTCTTCTTTGCATGGCACAGTTGTGGATGTTTGAATGTAGATTTTACGCTTCAAATCAAAGAAGAACACGTGTGGCAAAAACCAAATATTTTATTTATTGAATTTGTTAGCCTGAAAGTGGTGAAACAGAACTACGGTTATTTGAAACAAATCACTCAACAATATGCTGTTTCTATACTTACCTGCACATCTTTACAGCTTTGTGCTAGTAAGAACAGTGCTCTTTTTTGAATTACAGTAAACAAAGGAAAATACTTTTTCTCACCAGGTATGCACTTTTATTCAGTTATTAGTCTTGGAGCCTAAATTTGTTGTGTGACGAATAGTTCGGGCCGATAAACATTCGGCATTAGCAGTCGTATAATGAATGCTTCAAAGTACTTGATAATTTTTCTGAAATAACAGAGCAGAAATGCGATAATGCTGAAGTGTTTTGTCTGAGTAGTTAATCGGGGAAGTACTTGAAAAAGTAAACAATAGAGGTGTTAGATATTGAATTTCTTGTTTTCCAATGGTCTTTTTAAATCGTTTTGATTGTGAATTGGTTCAAAAACGATTAAATCCTCCACCAACAAAGTTAATTTGTCGGTAAAAAAGTTATATTTCTGCTTGCATTTTGAAGGGTTTTTTGCTGTTTATGACTATCCTCAGAAAAACGTGTATCATCGATGAGTACTATTAAACAGTCGATATTGAGGATTTTTCTGCATTACTAATATACTTATATTTTATACAAAGATTGAACAATATATTCGTTAAAGTGAAAAAAGTGCCAATTATTCTACACTTCTGTTGCGAAGCAAAGAATTTTAGAGTTGTAAAAGTGGTAAAAAGGGACTTGAAGGTGGTTATTGTTGTCTGTCAACAAACTGACAAATAAGATTGTAAATGATAGTTTAAGAAAGTATTAGATATAGTACTACTTGTGTTTCTTATGGTGGTTTTGTCACTCATTTTTCTTTTAGGCCAACCTTTGCCTAATCAAAGGAAAGAATCAGGTTTTAATTCAGTTTAGTGTGGCTTTTAAGTATAACCAAAATTTGTTCTTTGGAGTTTGAAAAAAACTTGAATATTGTAGTATCATTTATCAGTTCCATCAGCAAGCTTTTAAATATTAGTATACATGCTGATTAACTAAATTGGTTTAATAGAGCAGCTTGAAAAAAAATTTAAACTTTATCCTCAAAAGCTTCTGAAAAAAAATTAAGTAGCTTATATGTAGAAGAAAAAGATTATTTTGGCTGCAGAAGTTACGATTGCTACTAATAAATGATTTCCTTTGGAAGATGGGCTTCGTGTTGCCTTCCCAAATTGCTGTGATTTCCTGTTTATTTTTTTTTCGTAAAATGTTTCTAAAAAGTTGGTTTTTTTCTAGATTACCAAATTCTGATTGATTTAAAAGCATGAAACCAGTGACTGACGATTGATATCACGAGGCTACAATGGTCGCGATTGCGTATAATAGACGCAGATCGGTTTTAGCTAATTTTCGTACACGTATATATTCTGCAAAAAAAAGATATTTGATGAGGGTGAAGAGGTGAGAAAGTGCGACGACGAAAAATCTTATTAAAATGTTGTCGGTCGTACATGAAGAGGGGACCTGTGAAGAAAGCTGTCAGGTTATGCAATACTACGACAGAGGCGGTTGTTGGCTTGTTAACGCGATTCATGATGAGTATGTTTGGTCATCACATCACAACAACGGGATCGCAAATATCTTCCTGTTCAACGGCTTTATTAGCGTTGCACAATCAAAATACTCCTCACTCACCCTCCCATGATATTGCTGCTCTGTTACGCGCTTTTTGGACTGTTAACTCCGACCACAGGTATGCTACTTTCTTTTCACATTGACAGTAGATTAAAATATTACTGAAGGGAGGTACTGTAGTTCTTTCCTTGTAATGGTGTGTTATAGGTCCTTTTTCTTTTATTTTTTACAAATTCTATAAAGACTGTCTTTTGTCAGTATTAGCTTTATTTCCTTTAACAAGGGTAACTTGTGAAGGATTAACAAATTAGTAAATCAGTTGCCTGGGTGTTGGTCGAGATGATCCAAAACTGGTTTGACAAATTTTTTTGCATGTTACGGTAATTTCTATTGCACGACGCTTTGGAGAGGGGTAATTTTGGTCGAATTTACTGTTTTGACAAGTGGAACAAAGGTGCAAAAATCGACAGTTTTTTTTTAAACATGAACCGGGATTTCCCATCTCTTCACAAATACTGTCAGCATTGTTGCTGATATTGTCATTATTGTTATTATTGCAATATTAATATTAATTGATACTATGTTAATATTTTTATAATCAATTTTGTTATTAATAATACTAGCAATTTTGTTATTAATAATAATAATAATATTTCATTATTAGTGGTACTCATAAGTATCCATAATTTTTCTTTTCCTAACTTGCCTAGCTATTCTTTTCCCAGGAATAATAAGTTTTTTTTTTAGCTTTGAAGTTAATTTCAGAGGTTCGCTTATGCGTAAAAGGCGATAGTTGTTCTGCATGTGTTTTGCCAACTGAAGCTTCGGAAACGTGTTCAACTAAACGACATCAAAAAATAAGGCTTTTATCATGCGACCAAAAAACCAGGTAAATCAATTATTTGCTTTTTTTTTCCTTTGGTTTTTCTTATTGTTGAAAATCTTTTTTGGCGTCGTTAATTGGTGTACAAAAATCTGACTGTTGAGTCTTTTACTGTAATATGTAATGATGGAGCATCTTGTTGGGAGACTACCTTTCTATATTTGAAGAGCTTTCTTTAGGAAAGCTCGGTTTTCAAACGTGTATTAGACTTTTAAAAGATTTTTTTATCATAATGAGATTTTTTATAGCTTTTTTAAAGATGAAATTCTGCAGCTGCGTCAGTATTTCTGAGATAAAATTGTTAAACATTAATTTCTTGGGTCACCAAAATATCGTTCAAAATGTATGCTTATTTTGAAAAAAAATTTTATTTTTGTATCATTTGTGCCTTACCAGATTTCTGTTGGGGAACTGTTTACTTACGGGGTTGACCGACAATTCCACTGAAATACGTGCTTTCTTTTGCGGACATAATTTAACGGATGAAAACCAAATTTTTTGGCACTAACGATCAAAATTTTTGACAGCTAAAGCATTTCGTTTTACCGACCAAAAACGGCACTTCAAATGTGAAAAACTTCTTCAAGGTGTCCCCACTCAAAGTGGTTAAATGTTTAAGCATTGTCGTCGACGACGATACCAAATATTTCATTTGCGAGAAAGGACGGTGGAATGTACAAAATTGTGGGGAAAAAAATAAGCTCAAGTTGAGGTTCAATGGTACCGAATGTGTTGATCCAGTACTGTTACCACTTCACGCTCAAGCAACATCTGGTTTCTCAATTTTTGATCAACCCTAAAGCCATAATTAGACATCCAAATATGAATTGCGATATTCAATTTGAAAGTCACGATTACAACTAATTCTGCACAAATTTAAAATTTCAATAAATTTTAAAGCGTGATTTTTTCTTATCAATTCATCAAAATGAACGTTTGACGAAGGTTAAGCGTTGCTTTTCTGTTTAGTCTAGGGCGTATTTTACAAAGCCATTTCTATGTATTAGTTTTCTTCGGTGTTCAGGAAGTGGGCGAGTCGGCGACGTATGTTCCTTCAATACCGACTGCCTAAGTGGGATGTATTGTTCTAGTGGTATCTGTAGATGTCTTTCAACCTACGTAGCGGTGGATAGCTACTGTTATGAGAGTAGGTGCAGTTTTGTAACTTTGGGTTGAAGGGTTGCTTGCATAAACAATGAACTTTTAACGGTTAAGTTCTATTGTTTGAGTGAAGCGGGAGGGAGTGACACAAATGATGTATACTTATATGATACGACTTCAGATTGTAATCTACTTTCTTAGAAATAAATCCTGGTCAGTCTGGATGTTTTTACGACGATCAGTGTTTTGCTGTTTGGCCAGATGCATACTGCAAGGCTGGGACCTGTTTTTGTCCTGCAGATTACATGAGTGCAGTGAAGGTGTGACATTCAAACGGTTTTGATTACAGCACTACACACCTAGCATTTTAATGCCAAAAAAGAATTTTGTTTTTCAGACGCGGGATGGCGTTGTTTGTGTTTCAGTAGCATCTGGAGAGCCAAGCTGTCCTCTTCCTAACATACCTGGTCCGAATTCTCCAGCATCCATTGTTGTTCTGCCAGCTCCACTAGGCTCACTTGGAATTACGGTCGCAGCATGCAATCCTCAAAGGTTTTCAATCATCACTTTTTCTATTTTGCTGGAAGTGGTTTAAAACAATGTTTGAACGACTAAAAAGTATTACCTTTTTTTTTTTTTTCTGGTGTTGAAAAGGCATTTTATCATAGTTCTTCACCACCAAGCAGCGAATACGATTTGGTGAATAAATCGGCAGAATTTACATGCTCTGTTAGTGGTATGAACGGTGAACCTATAGATGTTAGTGATATATATGACTGCATTGATAATTCTCATTTTTGGCAGTCTATGGGGGTCAACACGCAAAGCCATCCAGTTGGAGTTTGCTGTATGAACCGAGGTATGTTCAAAAGGATTCCGGTGAGAGTCTACTTCAAATAATAGCAAAAGATAAATGAGATATGATTTATTTAAAATAACTAACCATACACATGCCATATCTGTGAAATTTAGCTTTCACCTGCGCTCAGCCTCGTAAAGGTGAATCTGATGCGGTCGGAACTGTGCCTAGATGGTGGTTTAATTCAGTCAGCGGTGCATGTCAGCAGTTTCTGTTTGATGCGGATTCTATGGAAGTATCACCAAATAATTTTGAAACTCTGGAGCACTGCGAAGCATACTGTAAAGATGGTAGGCCCTATCAATTTCAGTTAAATTTCTATCATACACTGTCAATATAATTACAATTAAGCATGTCCACGGGGCAATCCAGCTTACTCAAAAGGAAGTATAGCGAACCAATACCCAATTGGTGGTTGTTCTCCAGCTTCTCCTTGTGAGGACGGTTTTGAGTGTCTGGACATATCGTCGAATCATTACTGCTGTCCAACCAGAAGTAATTAATACTGACTCTTATATTCTGTTAGAGAAGCTTTAATTATTTGTTCTGCTCTATAAATTTTACGTCTGCATTGCACTTCCCTCTCTTAGAATCAATATGCAGCGAATCCGGAGGACGGCCAAAGGATAGTTCAGTAACGACGCCGTACGATCCCGGACTTCGTTTTGATCATTTAACGGGAGACTCCTCACATGTAAATGTTGGTGTGAGCACCCGTTACTACTATAATCCTTCAAATGGACAGTGCCATTCATTTACTTACAACGGTTTTCTTGGAAATTTCAATAATTTTCCGACGTTATCTGACTGTCAAATTTTCTGCTCAAGATGTATGTTTCATTACCGAACTTCTAGTAATAATTTAATTCCGTTAGGAATTTTATATAAGTTATTGCCTAAATGGCTTTGGAAATTTTGAAGCTAACATAACCCTAATTTTTTATTTCTTCACTACGTACAGTACAATGTGCCTACGGAAATCCGCTGGTGACTGGCGTAGGAATGCCTCAAAAATGTCAGCGGGACAGTGACTGTCCGGTAACTCACCAGTGTTCTGTTGAACGCGGAGTCTGCTGCCCAACACCACGTTAGCATTTTATAGTTACCGTCAGTGCAGTTAGGTTCCAAGAATGCCATAAATCTTATACGGTAGAAGATTTTACTTCCACATTTCTTTATTTGCAGAAACTCTCTGTACTCAACCAGTGCGTCTTGGTGACTGCAAGCTTAGTGTTAGACAGTATTGGTATGATGCTAATACCAGGCAATGCAATGCCTTTTTATATACTGGCTGTCAGGGCAATGACAACCGGTTTGATACAATGCACGACTGTAGAGCCTTCTGCAAAAACATCAACCGTCAGCAAACCTAAATTCGTTTGACACTTTTTGTACTTTTCTAACATTAAAATACCTCACTCTTTTCAAACCGCGTTTTACGGTAATAATCTCAAATACCTGTTCGAACCAGTATTTATTTTTTTGAGAGTTGGGTTGGTCTAGATCGATACATTCTGGTAATAAGCTGATAAGTATCAGAGTTTTTGTAATGGTTTAATTTTTTAACAAAGGAATAAACAAGAAGAACAGCTACCATAAGCGTGATAAGAAATTTTAAGATTTATTATTTTTCAAAATGATGGTTGAGAAATTCAAAATAAATTTTCTGCAAATCAGTAATTTGAGATCATATTTAGCGGAACCTAAATGTCCACAAGGACGTGCTTATACGGATAGCACTGGTAAATTTTATCAGTGTTCGGATGCCAGTATTTGTCCAGTCAATTATGAATGTTTCTTTGACGGTCAAGTTTACGGTTGCTGTCCTAGCAAAGGTGATCAGAAATGAATGTAAAAAAATTTAAATTTGTTGGTTGTTTAATTTTTCATAATTCACCTTTGACTCTTTTTGACATTTTGCAGCTTTTACTTGTTCGCTACAGCCAAGCAAAGGAATAGCATGTGGTTCTGGCTCATCTTATCGTTACTATTTTGACCATACTATTAAAGAGTGTCAGGCATTTTTGTTTCTTGGATGTGACGGAAATTCCAATAACTTTCCGTCTGTTGAGAAGTGTGAGGCCTACTGTGGTGTTGGAGGTAAGTAGAATATGGTAGTTTTGTGTACTTTTGCTTTCTTAAGTGTAGTTATTGGGTTATTGTTTTGTGGTGTTATATTGGAATAAAACTTAGACTTTCAGTCCAGCCAGTGAAGGTGTTTAATTCTAAATTTTAGGATGTCCAAATGGTGGATCGCCACTTCGTGTCAAAAATCAGTTACAATCATGTTCTGAAATAGATTCATGTCCGCCAAGTTACGAGTGCTCATTAATTAGCATTAGTGGACGGCCACAGCGACGCTGTTGTCCAACCCGCGGTAATATTGCCGTATTTTGAAAAAGAAAGTTGGGGGAATTTTCAAAATTTTTGGTCAAACTTTTAGCTTTCATGGGCATACTTTCTGCACTGATTTAACACTGCTTCAAAGGATTTTGTACAGTCAAAGTCTCCTCACAATTTGTTACGGTTTACAGAAAATTAAAAGACTTGCATTTTTGGCTTCACCAGTTTTATAATCTTCTTTATTCATTGATAGAATTTTATTGCACTGACAGTTGGATCTTGACTTATGCCAAACTGATTGTTGACGAATGCCTTAAAGTAGAATCTTTATTTTTTTAAAGGTAATTTTGCAGCATCCATTTGCGCCCAGCCTCCACAGTTAGGATTACAGAATGATAAATGCAGTAACAGTTTTGCAAGCACGAGGTTGATTATGAATTGAAGCCTTATTGTTTCGCTTCTATTTCTTCTTTATCCTAACAATCGTTTCTGCTGATTAAAAGCTTTTGTTTTGGAGAAGTTCTATTTTTTTGTAACAGTTGTTGACTAAGTAAAGGTTATTCAGCTGCTTCCTCAATTATGACTTATCCAAGTATGTTGACTTTTGTTTCTAAGCGAAAGAGTCTTACCTTACTTTGATATACAATTCAGGTGGAGTGAGGTCCGTAACAAAATTAGTAAAAATGTCACGTTTAATTGTTTTTAAAGCCCATTATCATTCTACAAATTTGCATATTCTAAGGTACTATTTCAATATGGCACTCAAAGCATGCACAGAATACGCGTCCAACAGCTGCGATCTAAGCTTGAACAGTTTTTCTTCAAAGACACATTGTGAAAACTTTTGTCATGCTGCAAGTTGCGCTGCTGGAGATGTGGCATATGTGGTAAGCCAAAGTTTGCGCTTCTAACCGAATGAATCTTTAATTATTAATCATATTATCTGCTACGATCTTATATTCTAATTATTCTCTAGGACGTCAATAACAAAAAGCCGCTCCTTTGTAATCCGGCACTACAGAACAGTTGTCCAAAAAATTACGAGTGCAAATTGAACACCTTAACTGGCGATCATGTTTGCTGTGGAGCCGAAAATATGGGCAAGTGATTGAAATGAATGTCTGTTTAAATGTAATATTTTGTTAAATTTTTTTTTCAGGAGTCTGTCCGGATGGCGAAAAAGCTTTTATTGACCCCAAAGAAATTACTCCGAGAGAATGTGCTCTGAATGTTGACGGCAGTTGTCCATCGGATTATGTTTGTCGCTTCAGCATGCAACGTCGTCGTTACTATTGCTGTGCCTCGTCTACTGGATGTGAGTTCATTTTTTAGCTCTGTCGTTAACAGGAAACAGCTGAGCACGTTTAAGTTTCTGGAGATTTATTGCTAATGGTTATTGGCAATGAGTAATATTTTGTAATTTATATGTTCAGAAAATTGTAAGATTTCAAAAAAGAATAAAAAAAAAAGATAATGCGTTACCTCATTTCAGCATTTTGTCCAAGGGGCAAATCATTATTCTTGTACCCAGTAACACGTGCACCTATAGAATGCTCTATCGATGCTTTTTCATCGTGTCCACCGTCATATTCCTGCCAAAGTCATACGTCGGCAGCTTCTCAGGGCCATTGCTGTTCCACGTTAGGTAACAAAACTCGCAAGAATTCTTTCCTTCTAAAAAATTTTCTTTAGAACCGTTACAAGGTTTAATCCTTCAGAAACACTTTTCATATCAAGCTTTATTATTAGAGGTTATTAACGTTAGACAAGTTCAGCAATATGCCCTAATGAAGTCGAGTTTGCTATTGATCCAGTGACTCGTCTCCCTATGACGTGCAACAATGACCCGTTTGCTCCGTGTCCGAATGGGTACACCTGTATGACACAGCCGTCTACAAAAAAGATGCACTGCTGTGCTGGGAAAAGCGTTATCAAACCTTCTAAAAGTATTTCTTAACTTCACATTCCCGCTTCACATTTAAATTGCCCTTCTAATTCATATTCAACATCGCTACTTTTTTCTTTCACAGGTGATGGTTGTCCTCCGCATGAGTTCGTTTATACTGAAAATAATGAAGTTCGTGTATGTGATCCATTTAACGCTGAAAATGTTCCTTGTCCGAAAGATTATACTTGTCAATGGTCGACACAAAACCAACGTTACCAGTGCTGCGGCTCAATTCCAGTCACTGAAGCACCAAAGACGAGTAAGAGTAGTAGTAATAGTTACATGTCTATCTATCGATAAATACGGGCAGGAAATTTAAATTCAACAGAAAAACTGTGATTTTTTTACCCAAAGTAAAAGAAGCGGCAAGATAACAGCGGTGAAAAAATATAGGGAAAAATGAATAAATAAACACGTGTGAGTGGCAATTTGGAAAAAATTTATTTGTTCTAGATAACCTAAGCTCGCTCTAGCAGCTACTAGAAGTACTAAAAATCTAGAATAAGGCTTGATAGACTTTTGAAGCAGTTACGGGTTTGTTTTTGCTTCAAGTTATGACGTTTACTGCTACGCCGGAATTTTTTGCTTAGGTCGTTGTTATAGTTTTAGAACATTACTTAAAATATGCAGCTTCGTTTTGGTAGGTTGATCATAATATTGTTTACTTCGGAGAAAAAGGTATTTTAAAAAATCAAACTATTGTAGTTGCTGCTAGTCGTTATTACAGTAAGAATTGGCATATTCCGTTTAATAAAGTGTAGACTTATTTTTTCGCATGTCGTAACTTTATTTAAACACTATTTTTGCTTTTATGTGCTCTAAATCAAAACCGTTACGTTTACAAGGGATTTCAAAGTATACAGTTCGTATATTAGCTGTAAGGAGGAATTTGATTGAGATGTATACAACACTATAAAGAAACTTTAAAGTATTATGCGTTACAGATGACGGATGTCCAGATAAGCAGACAGCCTACCTCGATGGCAATGGTAAACCACAGGTTTGTACTGCTGCTGAACCGTCATCGTGTCCACATGGATATTTTTGTCAATTTTCTTCAAAAAATGTACAGTTTCAGTGTTGTGGTTTGAGTGGAGGTGAAGTTCGCTTGTTTTTCATTTGATTTTGCATTGTTTATTCGGTATCTGTTTGTTGGTTGCTGTTAGCAGCTAGTACCTGTAGTTTAATTTGTAAAAGGTTATTTAAAAAAGTTTTTTGAAAAGCTTCTAAATATTTTGTTGAAGTAACTAGACTCATAAAGCTCTTATTTATCAGCTTGTCCGGAAGGAAGACTTGCATTTGTTTCGTCAAACGGCTCCCCACAACGATGTGAACCCGGCAGACTTTTTTGTAACGAAGGCTTTGACTGCATCTTCAGTAGAGATTATGATTTCATATGTTGCGCAAATGAAACCTTTATTGAAGGTAACTTGTAAATGAACTTACTATTTTTACTAAAAGCCAATTTCATTTATTCTGCTTTCTGATGGCAAGCTTCTTAGGATGCGATCCTGGAGAAATTTTGTTGAATGGTAGATGTTTACATCGAGTTCTACCACTAGAAGCTTGTGAATACAGCGAGCAATGTAGAGGAGGGACAGTATGTGAGAAGGGCATTTGTAATTGTCCTGAGGGTACAACCCTGCTTGACCTTTCTTGTGTACCGTTAGTGTGCGAGGAGAACCAGGTTTGTTAGTCTTTCTTAATAATAAAAAATCTTAACAATGCAGCTGTTAATGACTAAGCAGGTGTTATAAAATAGTGGTATTACGTTTTAGTCACATTTGACTTCTTATGGAGTTTAAGTCCTGGTTGGCAAAGTGAGTTTTAGTGCATGTTATATAGTTTAAGCTCTATTAGGCTTAGGCATTCTCAAGGACACAGTGAAGGAGAAGTATTCTAATTTTGACGATAGTTTTTCCAAATATAACTGGAAGCAAAAATTAGAAATTCGCTACAGCTACGACAAATTACTTAAAGATTACTGGGTATTCTTCCAGATAATTTGCTTTCAGCATAGTTTATTGTGGCTCTATGTAATTGTAACAAAAATAATTACTGTGGAAGAATTATTGTAAAGCAATAAGTGGTGAAAATGAGTAGACCAAACAGGTTTGCGACAAAAAAGCTGTATGAAAGGAAACGTTGTTGTGAGAAAAAAAATTTTTTTACTGTTCTTGTTTTATTCATTTTACCTATTTCACAATCCCATTTGCTTTCTCTAGTAATTTGCTTTAAATTTCAAGTATTTATTCATACATCGTCGGTGAATATCTGAGCTACAGCAAAGAGACATTTAAATAAATTTGTTTTGAATAGAGTGTAATTCGAAAAATGAATCGTTCTCAAAAACACTGCACATGAGGGGACTCAAAATGAGGAATTAGATTAAAGCTGATTCTTCCTAAGCAAGCATTGCTGCGCTTAGATTATTAAATTATCAGTAAGTACGCCTATATTTTTAAAACTTAATTTACAAACAATGCGTAATGATTGAGAAAATGAGGAATTTTCGAGGTTTACCGTACATGAGTCGCATAACTGGAGTAACCATAACTGAATAATTTAAAGTTTTCAAGAAGTCGTTAACCAGAGAGTAAACCGAAGCAGTAAGGTGATCAATGAAAATCATCAGACCGCGATCTCTTGAAATTTTTTCAAACATTTCTGGACTATTTTATCTTATGCTTTGTTACGGATTACATGATCACGGCTTAGCTTGTTACTTCTTTTATCGGTGTAAAACGGAATCAGAAGTCTATCATTAGATGCCAACTATTACTTTCAGACTGCTAGTGTCTGTTGCCTATTCTATTATTATAACTCTTCTATCTTTCTTCAAAAGCGGCGGTGTATTTAAACTGTATTTACTTTTGATGTGTTGCACCACATCTGCAAAAATTCTTTGCTTGCAGCTCATTCTAGTGATTATGCCTCTAGCGGTCAAGCTTCAGTGTCCGAAGAATAGTTCAGTGATGGTAATAATAGGTCCAATATGACGCTCTAAATCTTAAAAGCCTTTAGATTCCAATATTTTTTGACTTGTCCCCACAGCTTGAAGTTTTTGGTCTTTAGTAACAGGTGCTCTAGCGCGACATCACCTCTTCTCAGAATGCATCTTCACTTGCAAACACAGTATATCTTGGGCACTCAATGCCGACAAAGTAAGAGCGGAAATGTTTAAATACCTTTCAAAACTATCGTAGTATTCTTTGTTACTTCTAACTAGTGAGATCATATTAAAGATTGGTCTGTTATTTCTTTGAAAGTAAAAAGGTGAAGAAAAGTGAAGACAATCAAAAAGTCTTTTTGTAAATCATGACCATTTATAAATTGCTTTTGAAAAAAGAGCCATTGACGTCAACGGGATAGTCAGCTGAATAAAAAAATAATGACCATGTTTTAAATTTTTTAAATGACAACTATTATAGTTGCAGTGATAACATATAGGGCAAGAACTTCAAGTTTTTCTTTGAAATGTCAGTACCTGAAGAAATTGGTCACTCAGTTCCTTTCAAAATTTGTTGTTTAAAGCAGTCTTTTGAGATAAAATTTGGTTTAATGCCTTTGTTTTCTTTTGAAGCAGGCAACGTTGCAATCAAACACTGCTTGGACTCGTAATTGAACTCCTTTCTGTTTTTAGATCAAAGTTGGCCAAACGTGTCTTGGTAAGGCTACAGTTGGTCAGCAGTGTATCTCCTCATTACAATGTCTAGGTAAATCAAAGTGCGTCTCAGGTATCTGTGAATGCGCGAGAGATGAGGTATTTCTTCGCGGTGAATGTATTGAAGGTAATTCACTAAATTCTCTTAAATCTGAAGCATACTTTCAAAAAAAGCAAATTTTTTATTTATTTATTTCTTGATTGGTCTGTCTTCCAGACTGACTGGATTAATTATGCGTTTTTTTCGACTGTCTTGTTTATTTGTTGATGCTTTATCGGCATTTAGTTCGTTCGCTTTGTCAATTAGAAGGCGAACAGCCATATTGGAATTCTGAAAACACGGAACCTCGTGCATGTCTACGTAGTGATCCAGACTCTTGCCCCAAGAACTTCACTTGTCAATACAGTAAACCAATTGACCAAGATATATGTTGCGGCGTTGCAGATAATCCCAGAAAACTGAAACGAGGTAGGGAACCATTTGAACAATTGAAACCAGTTAGCTGGCATTTTGGACTTACTTACTGAATGGTGTAATACAATTTCAAAGATTTATTTGTTCATATATGTTTGTTTCCTTTTTTTTATGATCTGCTTATAAATTTTGCTTTATGTTTAGTGGTTACTTTATAACCTCAGTATTTGAGAAAAAGAAATGTTTATCTGCTTTTTTTATTACTCAGAAAATCTTTTTCAGTAGAAAATGACTTTGAGATGGTTGAGAAGAGGGTAAATGAGTGAACAAACAGAATCTTTCGGTTGAAAGGAAGGGATCCTGATTGGAAGCATGTAAATCGACACCAGGGTCATTGTTAGGGTAATCGGATATTAACTGAACGAAATCATATTACTAAGTCAATGAAGATTTGAAAATATGTTCTAAAAACATGTTTACAAGAGTTAATTAACAGACTTTTTTTCACTTTTACACAAATACATTAAACTTTTTACGCAACAAAGACGCATTTGATAAACTAAAGATTTTAGAAGCCTGTTCAATGTTTTTGTGTTTTATGGTGTTTATAATTCTTAGCAGCCGTGAAAAGTAAGTTAAAACCTTAGAAAAGTGTACGGTGAGTAACGTAGGCTGTAGAAAATTATTTAAAAACCAAAAAACTTTACATGGTTACAATGATCGAAAAAGCTACTTTCAAAACTGCCACGTATTTTCGCTCAAAAAACAGGGATATTTTGCCAGACAGCTGAGTTCAGCAATCTTTGTCCTACTTCGTTACGTTAAATTTGGCGTCGGAAAGAAGTAAAACTTTTGAGATTAGTTAGGTTTTTTCCCTGGTTAGTATAAATTTGTAGTTTCATTAAAACCGGCTTACCCTTTCTCAAAAATTGCTAAAAAAATGCAACAACATCAGTGTTTTGAGACCAGTTTACACATAGCGAAGCAATAATTTTTAATAAATTGAGACTGGAGGTTTGATTTTCAGGCAGTACGTGTCCGAAAGGCGGGATTCCCTACCTGATCAATGGGATTCCAAAAAACTGTGCAAAAGCACTTTGTCCAAGCGGCTATAAATGTACATTATCCGATTCAGGTGGAGACTACATCTGTTGTTCCTATGATAAACGAAATAGGATGGGTTCGTCGAACGTCGGAGGAGGCATCTCGATTGCTCAAAGTTTGTTTTTTAAGCGAAATGTCATAAAAGTTTTGAAATTTTTATTTTTGTTATTTTTTTCATAGTGAAATTGAACAAAGTGATCTTACTGCATATAAAGCTGTTATCAACGCTAACTTAAGTGTTTTTGAGAGTTTCTGAGTACAGTCTGAAAAGTTCTCTGAGAGAAAAGTCTTATGAAGGCTTATATGAATATTTCGACATTAGTTTTTGTTTTTATTTTTAGGTTAATATTTCGACCTAAATTGATTATATTTTTTTATTTGAATAGTTGGCTATCAGAAGTTTTAATTATCCAAAAAGCGAGCAGAGCTGTGAGGCACTTTCTGGTGTAATTTTCTTCAAAAAGGATTGTAGGAAACGTACTTAGGGACTTTTTGCAGTGCACTTGATTGTTTGCAAAGTTGTTTGGCATGCAATATTTAAAGCCAGTAATTTTTTGAGGAGAGCTTAACAATACGCGCATAAAGCGTTTGTACAGTTAAACTATTCAGAATACGGCAAGAAATAAAAACTGAACAGTCAAAGTTGTTTTAATTATTTGAACAGGTTCTTTCGATTGTTTAAGTAAATAGATAAATCAGTAAAGATTTTTATCTCTGAAAGGAGTTCAAGCATAGTTTCTTCCATGTTTTTTAGTTCCCACGTAATTTATCTGCCAATGATCATATGATGTTATGAAAAAATTTTTTTGCTTTTAAATGTTAGTGTACATTCGCACTTACTCTAGGATCTAATTTCTCTGTATTTATATTTTTGAAGACCTAATTTAAAATTAAAAAATAAGCTTTTTAGACGCTGTTTATGCTGCTATAAATCTGACTGAAATTTGGTGAAATTTTGTCACTTATGACTGAATTTTTTTCTTTTTTTTTTTCGGGATAAAAAACCTGGAAAAGGATAAAGCGAATGAAAGAAATTGAATTTTTTTTATTTTTTTATCTGTTTTTTCTTTTCTTGCGCAAATTGATTAACATTTTGTTAATTAATAAACTCTACAAACCTAAGATTATTTCGTTCGTTAAAATGGTAATTTTTCATTTGGTAAAACTAAGTTAATTTTTGAAAGGAAAAAGATTTTTTTGAAATTTATGCTCAAACTAGGTATTCATTGTTTAATTTAATGGCAGTTATGCTGGAATTTTAAATTTGGTTTGTATATGTAACAGGAAAATTTTTTTGATGGATCAGACAGTTTATAGAGATAGCTTGAAAATAGCACTACCTACATTGCCTATTCAATTAGCATTAAATCTAATGCGTTTAAGTTGTAGGAAATTGATAAAAAACTTAGGTTATTGTGCTTCTTTTATTCACAGGTGGCAGTTGTCCACGTGGGTCGGCATTGATATTTCCGTCGACTGGGCAACCGGTACAGTGTCATCCAACCAAGAAGAAATGCCCATCTGGATTTTCATGCCTGAAAAGTCCTGGAACATTTTTCTACCAGTGTTGTACCAATGATGTAAACTATGGACGACGAGATTCAACACGATGGTCACGAAATATGCGCAAATTTTTGCCTTCTCGGTTACAAAAAATCTTCTGATTAATCGGTAAGCATTAGCAGTCAACTTCTGATTACTTGGTTAACTGGCCGAACCACTAATTAAGCATTACAATTGCTAAATGTAATGCCAGGAAGTTTTTATCTATATCTGTCTAATTAAAAAAACAGCAGTTTATCGTTATAACTTTTACCGTGACTTTCCTTTTTGCTTCCGCATCTTTTTTGCTCGTTTTTTGTTTGCTGTTACTGTCGCCGATTTCCGTACCTGTTTTCAGTTCTATTTTTATGTTTTGCATTTCTCAGTTTTTTAAATTATTTTAATGCTATGTTTAGTTGATGAAAGGCTAGCTTTTTTGGTGGCAGTTGAAACAAAGTTTTTTTGGGTACAGAAACTATGTGCGTAAAGCGGACAAAGATAATAATGTGCGTTTCTTCACAGTTCGTTTCCAGTTTTTCCAGTCTGAATAAAATTGTAGAAAGAAAATTAGCGATTTTGGTGACAGGGATGGCAAACATCTTTCTCAATTCTTTCAAATAATTTCTATTACACAAAAAGTGGGAGAAAGTAGGAGAACAAGGAAAGTACTGAAGAAAATTTTTTTGCGTATTATCTTCGAATTGTTTGCGTATTGTTCTTTTTTTCATTTTTCATCAACGGCAACAATCAAAATGATGGGAGAAAAAATCTCTGTATATTAAATATAATGTGTATTTGTTGAAATTGTGTTTTCAAAGATAAAAAAATTTTCTAGACGATTCTTTTATATCACAGCGATGGCAGTAGTGATTAAATTCTTTTGTTTTTATGAAAATATCGCATAATATTTTACACGTTGATTGTAAAATAATCAGTAGTATTTGTCGTAATGAATACGAAAAACAAATATGTAGAATCTGGAAGTGGTTATTTTTGTTTTTTTTTCGTTGATAGTGGCGACGGTGGGAGTCAAGTTATATTGTTTTCAGTAAACCAAAATGTCATATGCATTACTGCTGTTGGTGATATTATATTGTTGCTGCCAGTCGTTGTTCAGTTGTTGTCGGTCTGTTGGTCTGTCTGTTCTGTTTTTTGTATAAAAATGAAATACACAAATTGATTATCATCAATAAATTGTTTCAACTGGAAGAAAAATAATTTTTTTCAAATGTTATTATAATCTCATCGTTGGTAAATCATTATTTTTTCGTTTTTTATCTATCAATCTGCTAAATTAATCAGCTGATTAATTTTTTTGTGCTTAGCATATTCTTTGTTGGTGTTATGGTGTTAATATTGATGAATATGAGAGGGATAATTAACTGCAAACGGTTAAAAAAATTTCTTTATACAGACAGTGAATCGAAATTACGGTTTTTTT